ACACACACACACACACACACACACACACACACACACACACACACACACACACACACACACACACACACACACTCTCTCTCATCTATAGTATGTGGCCAAAAAAATCGACTTCTCTGTATCCTGTATGTTTTACACTCACGGTTCTTCAGTCCAGCTCATTGCTTGAATAAATCAATATACATTAGCCACGTATGATAAATTTCACTATTTCAAATACAATAAATTGTTTTTATTAAAAAATTCTTTTTCACCAAATAATTAGTGATTAGAATCAGATGAAGAGGTTACATTTGTAAGTTACATGCATGCACGTTGCAGGTTTAAAGTAAGACTTTACATGCCTTTGATAAATAGACTTTATTAATCTTTCACTGGGTAAATTCAATAATTACAGCAGCACAAGGCCGAGGAAGAAAAAGTCCATCAGAAATTTATTAGAAATCAATAAAAATTGTAAAATTAAAAAAATAAATAAAGACGGGGTACAACAAAAGTGCAAAGATGAATGAAATACAAAGGTAACTTGTACTATATGCACGCGGTACAATATGCACGATAATATTTATTCGTGCATATTTTTATGTACCTAAACTGCAGCAGAATGATACACGTGTGTATTTGTGGTTGTATGTTGGACTTTTTCCATGCAGGAGTCCAGCTGCTGTGACGTCTTCACTTTGGTATTAAGCTTCTAGCTTTGGATGAGAGCCTGGAATGCTAAGCTATCAGCTAACGTTAGCTTGCTGGATAGCTTCAGCGCTGATACCTGCTGGTCTGTGCTAACGGACTGATAAACAGTGCTGCAGTTTAACACTGAGCACAGACCCGACTGTCAGTACAGTTTGCCATACAGGAAGTGTCAGATTATTGTGTAGAAAAATGCTCAAAGAGGTCGCAGTAAGTTATGTCCCTGCACAGTTATTATTACAGCAAACGAAAGCTACAGAGACGCTAAACATATTTTGACCTCATCAGAACATGTTGGTCATGTTAGCTGGTTAAAATCTGTCAGGGTTGACTTGCTTTCAGAGTCTCAAGTGGCCATTAGTGGAACTGCAGCAGTTTTCTGTTTGTCTACATTCTTTAGTCATTGATGTTATTAATGACATTTTAATTTTATCACTTACTAAAAATAAGAATGTAACAAGTACATTACTGGATTAGAGTTCACTTTCATTGGACGTCTGATGTTTGTCTGCTATTTTATTGCAACTTGTTACATTTACCTTTGATCTCACCCGTTTCTACAAAAGCTACAATAATATACTTTACCAAGACCTCCTACCAAAACGTGTTACTTATGTCATTAACAGGTCATGTTATTATATTTATGATGAAAATGACAGTCTCTACTAACAGCTGTCCAATTATTTCAGAACAATAAATTACACTCAAAAACATGTTTAAGCCCAAAATGTTGACTTTAAGAAACTGAAAAACATTTGTGTAAACAAAGTAAAATGGAAATTTATCCAATCCAACTAGATGTAAACTGAATGTATATCAATCAAGCATAGTTACCTTAAAGATGAATTATTTGACTGAATCGACCTTTGATTTTCTATATTTCAGTGACCTTTTACTCAAAACGATTGCTTCATGTTTATGAGGGCTTATGCGTTTTTTTTTTTTTTTTTTGAGAGTATTCCAGCTGGTCGTGCTGGCTGAAGGTCATCATGCTGCTGGAAATCTGCTGCTGCGTGTTAGATAGAAATGCTGTACGTTATAAATACATTATAGAACTACTGACCCGCGACATCAAGAGCTTTGAAATGAGTCTTTTCAGTTTAGACAGCAGTCTGTGCAACAGCCCCACCTCTGAGTGGTATCAAAATACACCAGGTATGTTGAGTGGTTTGTATAAGTGAGCCACACATAAACTGAGAGGTTAAACATTGAGTCTGTGAACGCAGCTTTTCTCCTACGAAACGCTGAAGACGTCCAGATGAATCAACGTTCGGGGATTTCCTCGCCTGGTTGATCGAACATGCGTCAGGATTATAAACCAGTTCCAACATTTGCAAAACTGTAGCAACAGTTTCAAAGCTTCTCCCGCGTTTCAGACGTGTGACGCCGTCCGTTCACATCGTCCTCGTCTTTGAAATCGGTTTCAAGGTTTTCAGGACTTTTGCTGATCACGTCACTCAGAGGCCAAAACTCTGGAGCTGCTGGCACGTGCGCAGCAGCTCTGTTTCGTACACGCATGGACGTGCACGTTAGGGTTAGCCCGGCGCTCATGTTTTTACACTAAAAACATGAGCGCCGGAGGGCAGGTCCTGAAATAGGAACAGCCTGCTGCCGGTCTGGGGCAGCAGGCTGATGAAGCAGCAGATAGAAAACCTTTAAACTGAACCCGGCACAGAGAGGGACGACAAAGGCATTCTGCCATCGTCACGCAGAGGAGAGTCAGTCCAGTCTGTGCCAGCAAACCTCTCCTCTGTACTGCTGCCTGTTCGCCACAGGAACTCCTGCTCTGTTCATCCATCTTTCGCTCCTCCTACACTCCTGTTTGACTCCCTGTACATCGAGTCGCTCGCTTGTTTTTCTTCTTTAACGCAGCCATAATGTTCTGTGCAGGGCGGCTGTGATTCATGAAAATTCTTAATCCCTGCACTACTTTCCCTTAAATGACAATTTCAGTTGTCCTTTTTCACCCATCTCTCTCTTATGACCACATGTGACCCCTCCTCTCTTGGTATCATGTTTATTTAAGCAAATAGCGTAGCCGCCACCCATCAGACAGGTGAGCAGGTAAAAATGCTTTCGTATCATCTTTCCTCAACGATTTGAAACCTGGTCGGCCGCAGGAGATTTTAGATTATTAATGAGGCTCCTCAGCACATTGTCTTCCCCTGAGTGAGCGAGTGAATGAAAGTCCTGGTGTAACAGTGCACCGACAAATACGGCCGAGGCAGCGTGGTATCGGTGTTTATAATCGTGCATTCATTACTGCTAATGTGGCTGTAATGGCAGCGTAATCAGAGTCCTAATTGAGAGTCATTATCGGGATGCTGGTGCTGTGTTCTCCTCACAATGGTTTATATCACTGTCACTGCTGCTTATTAAGCACAGGGTTGTAATAATCACATTGTGGGGAAAATGACTTCATCTTCACATTAAAAACGGTGCATCCTATTGGTGCAAATTTGAATGTCATGATTTTAGGCATATAGAGACAAGGGGCAATGTTCTAACCAGGTGGCTTTCTTTGGTGTTTCTTTCAGGTGTGGGAGTGGTTGCTCAGCTTAATCCGGACAATCTCACGACGCTTGGTCCGCTTCGTATCGGCCGAGGAGTGGAACGAGCCCATAAAAAGATTCTGCCAATCTGCATCTGGATGAAGACACTCTTCATCTGTGACCGACAGCCTAACGCATCAGATAAACATTTTCTACCTCTCGCTGCTTCTCTGCTTGTCAAGAAGGGCGTTTTTCTGAAGCGATCACCCCAGAAGGAGGCGCCGGAAAGGAGTGGCTTCAGCGTTTGACAGCTCTGACCCACTTATCACGCTCCAGCCGGTCGAAGGGAAAACTTAGCATTTAGCAGACAGCTTCAGGAAAGGTTATGCATTGTTTTATATTCAGGGCCACTGAGCAGCTGACCTCCCAATCTGATTAGCTCCATACCAACAGCCACACATGTGCCCACACAGACGCGCACACGCTGGGCTGCCGGCCTCTGCAGGCGCTTTAATAGTGCGCCGCTCGTGTCTGCGTTTCACTTTAGCGTCACAACACGGAGACGCACGCTGAAACAGCTGAACCCAACTTGGTGTTAGAAGTCCATCAGCGCTCTTAACTCCCTTAGAGCACGCTGACCTTGACCGCCATCAGTGACGTTTGCGTTAGCGGGAGGCGGTGTCACGTCCTGTCTGCTCTGTGAGACGGAGTGAGAATGAGAGCTGGCGTGGCTCCGATAAATACACTAAAAACATGAGCGCCGGAGGGCAGGCGCTGAAATAGGAACGGCTGAGCGTCATTAGACTTTTTAGGCAAATGTGTTACACAAAAAATAGTCCTTATTAATTGAAAAGTGTGTGTGTGTTTGACACACTGTCAGAACACATGAGAGTCAAAGCTGTCTGGGTCATGTCACTTTGACTGGCCTACATTTGATCCAATAAAGTGGCGACCATGGGACTGCGCTCATCATAGACAAACGCTCTGCGGTCCTCTCGCTCGGTAACTATTCTTCTAAAAATAAATAAACAGGGTCTGCAATATTGAAAAACTTTCAACATTTCCTAAATGAACGCCTTCCCTTCCTTCTCCGCACCTCCACCCAACACACCAACCATCCAGTCAGTGTGTAAGCCCTGTCTTCGGGCCCCGTGGAGGATGAACGATGTGCCCACGCTTGACTACGAGTTGCTGCTGTCCCCAGCCAGCTCCTCCCTCACCGGCAACCATGGCGGCGGCAGCAGCAGCCCTCCTCTGGCCTTGGTCGGGGTGGACACGGAGCAGCGTACCGCTTTGGCCTTTGTAGGCCTCCTCATGCTCTTCTTGGTCTTCCTGCTGGTCAGATGCTTCAGGATCCTTCTGGACCCCTACAGCCGCATGCCTGCATCATCCTGGACTGACCACAAGGAGGGGCTAGAGAGGGGTCAGTTTGATTATGCACTGGTGTAGGGGGGCACGGCGCAGGGGAGCGTGCCATTGCACACAGACACTGTTTTAAAGCACGGACTGGTTTAGAGGGACAGAACATTGTGACTGCACTGCTTAAGAAGGACGTCAACTATTGCAGGAAGTTTGTACTGAGTCACTGTCATCGTGTACTGGTGTAAATACGCGGCTGCAGGACCACAGGTAACCATAACGACTGTGGTTCGACATGAGGCTCGACGCACAGCTGCCTTAACCAGACCTACTGTAACAGGGGAACCATGCTACCCAGGCCACAGCATCACTTTAGGGCTAGCTGGACAGGATTTGGGAAATATTCACTCACAACTAACCTCAAAGCTAGATTTATTTATTTTATTTTTTTTATTTTTTAAACCCACTCCACTTGCATAAACACTAGGGGTGCAACGATACACAAAATTCACGGTTCGGTTCGATACTTTGGTGTCACGGTTCAATATTTTTTCGATACAAAAAAATGTTCGTGCCTTTTTAATTTGTCATTTATTAAAATTATAAATATATATTTTAACTCAAAAGTACAGTTTTTAAATTTAATGTTGAAACAAAGTAATAAAATAATAAATCTATCTGATTGAGGAATCACTCATCTTTGGAAAAGAGAGTTTATTACAGAGAAATGGCTCTTTCAAAATAAAAGCTCTACTATACGCTTCTTCTGGGCTATATTCTCAGCAGCATATTAAACATATCAGGTCCCCATAAGGAGAATCCTGTGCTAACGGCCGTCTAAATGACTCGGGTAAAGTTTGTAGCATGCTGCTTGTTGTTTTTGTCTTTGCACTAGGGTGCTGTCGGAGTAAATGTGCAGTCATATTCGTTGTGTTCCCACTAGTGCTGTCAGGTTAATCTGAAAATGACGTTAACGCCACAACACGTAAATCTCCGTTAACGAGCTACCGTGGATCGCCCCGTGCGTGGGGCTGGACGGCCAACACGTTAACGAGCTAACTGCGCTAACGCACTAGTTCCCACCCATGTAATTGAGCATTGCGTGACACATCCAACATACTGTTTTACTTTAGTCCATGACGCGCTTACCTTCAGGCTCATACGTCACATGAAAACCAAAATAGTTCCAAACGCCAGATCTGAATGAGGGTGGGGGAGGTTCAATTTGCCATGTTGCAAGGAGAGCTTAGCTTCTGTCTCGCTAGCTTGCGCTGCGCTCAGTGGATCTGCGCTCGACAGTGCAGCCTAGGCGGAGTAGTCGAACGCAGATTCACTGAGCGCGCAACACAGACAGCATCGTCAGAAGGAAAGTTGATTAAAATTAAACATTTTGTATTGTTCGATACATATGCGTACCGAACCGAAAGCCCTGTATCGAACGGTTCAATATTGATACGAGTATCGTTGCACCCCTAATAAACACAGCCAGAGCTTAGCTGAAGGAGTTTACATTTAAGCAGATGCCCCTTTAATGAACCGAAGCCCGTCACGAAGCGTGTGACCTTTCAGTGCTTGGCGAGGAGCACAAACACTCACCTTTATCGTGCTTATTCTGACTGCTTACACCGAACAGTTCCAGATGCTTTTAAGGCCCAAGCAGGTCGTTTGTGGCACTATAAAAATCTTGTCTGTGTATATTTTGTCTGTGTCTGTAACTGAGAAGCCATACTGAAACTATATAATCCCGTATTACTGCGAGTAGAGTTTGTGTTAGCCGGTCGTGTCCTTTGCTGTAGTCAGCCTGCTGAGCGTGTTGATGAGGCAAACGGCAACCTTTAGGCGAAACAAAGCTTTATTTTTCTATTCTCGACTCAGGTTTTGGAGTCTCCTTTTTGCTCTCCTTTTCTCTCTTCCTCTTACTGTGTCAACCTTTAGACTCTAGAACTTTGAGCTAGTCCTGCAGCCCAGTCTTAGGAGGAAAACACTTTGCTTTTTTGAGTTTTGTAATTCAATATTTTTCTGACTATACGCTTTGTTTTTGATACGCTGGAGTGAAACAGTGAAAAACTATGATTTTCTTCTTCAAGTACTCTTATATAACTTCCACTGATGCTGGACTGTGTGTGTAGTCCATGTTGTTCATGTTTGAAATGAAATAAAAGGACTGCTAGTTAAAGTCTCCTCGTGTCACTTTTGCTGTGGGCATTTACAGACTCGGCTCCTTTTAAATCTTCTGTTTACGAGGAGCAGCCAATCAGAGGAAAGTTGTCTTAAAGGAAACGAGGCCTTAAAAGGAGACGAGATAAGCAGCTGTTTCGTGCACCGAGGCCCACTGGACCTTTTTAAAAATGTATTAATTTGAAGTGCAGATAATAAATCTAGTGTTTTTCTTGCCCCAGCTAATGATCTCTGCATGTTCTCACTACATCATGACCCTCTTCTGTGGCCTTCCTCTTTGTCCAGTATTTGCGCTGTCCCTCTGGACATGTCCGAACCCTCTCAGCTTCTCTAACCTTGTCTCCAAACCCCACACGCTCATCTCTAGCCGGTCCACCCTGCCTCCACTCTCGCCTTCACCTCTCTCGTGCAGTGTCGGATAGCTGACCTCCAGGTATTTGAACTCCTGCTTCCATCTTCATTGTTACACACATGCTTTCATTCCTCTTCTCCCCAGAGCACACCCCCACCTCTCCAGGCTGTCCTCCACCTGATCTCGCTACAGATCAGTCCACGGAGACTCCTCCCTGACTTCATCTGTCAGCCTGTCCGTCGCCATCATAAACACCACGGGGGTCAGAGCAGGTCACTGATGTTAGTTCAGCCACCTGTCACACCTCATGCCTCAGTTCCTCTTTTAGCACTCTATCGTATGCGTTCTCCACAAAGACACAGCACCAAGAATACACAACTTAAAAATATAACCCACAATACTTTATTGCCATTTATGTCAGTGGACAAAGGTTTACAAAATAACAGGAAGGACTCTAAGTTTTACAGACTGCCCTTTGGTGTCATAAATCTTTGGTTTTCAGAGATGATGGCACAGGACGTCCCGCGATGGCTGCTTTATTGCGTGATCCTCATCTTGTAGATGCTGTGTGACTGGATGATTGTCATATCAGCTTTCAGTTAAACTCTGGGATCAACAGGTGTGACAATTGCTGCTTTCGTTAAGCACAGGATACCTCGACGACGATGACGATATTCAAGTCTGACGCTGAAGCTGAGATACAGTAAGCACAGGCAACACGGTGCCCTTTCAAAAACATAGTGGCAAGTTTAAAAAAACATCAAAATACAAAATGAGAATAAAGATACAAAGTATACAAAGGTTCCCAGGTTAGAACGTGGTTACGTGTTAGAAACGTCGTCTTCGATGAAATGCCTCAAGTGTTCAAAGAGAAGGGTTAGCATTTAGCACCACAGGTCCGAGCACGGTGGCATGTCGGCCTCGATCGTTGTACACACAGTGTAAGCTTCCCTACTTGTGATAAAAGAGCTCCTGATCGTCTCAAAGACTGATCTGACTGCAGCAGCCTTAACGCGTCAGTCAGTGGTGACCAAGCGCATGCTCGCCTTTGGTCAATCTGAGTATTTGGTCTGGCAGCTGTGACATTTAAAAAAAAAAAAAAAATCTACATTTCACTTAAAAATATACAATTAAATCTTCAAGAAGCAAGTTTAATAATAATAATATTGGTTTATCAGCACTGAGACAAAAGACGGAGACAACCGCAATAAAACCTGGTAAAAACAACAGACTGCGCCTCTTCTACAGCGTTTGGTATCATGTAGCACCTTTTTCCCCTCAGGAGGAAAAAAATCATGACAAAGGATGTTTGACCTGAAGCATATTCTTGTTTTTGTGAGGTTTTGCGTTCTAATGTGCAAGCCCTTACTCTGTAAAGCACTGCTGTTAGTTACAGCTTAGCATGTCGTGTACCTTTGAGGCTGCTACTGCATTCACGTGTACGTCCCTTCAGCTGTTTTCACACGTGAATTCTGGGAAGCGTCGGGAGGACGGGGTTGGTACGACGTCCCACACGGCAGGAGATGGTACTGGCTTCTGGAGATGCTCAGTTTGCTTTGGACGGTGCCGTCTGTGTAGAGCGTGCAAGAAGGCGAGAGCGACGCCCGTTTGGTGAATTCAACAGATGCTCTCGAGTTCAAGTGAAATGGACGTCTGTGTCCTCAGGGCTGCAGTGCACGTAAATACGGCTCAGTCCTCAGACTCACGGTGAAGCCAAACAAGGCAGATAAAGTCAGCTTAATGTCATTAAATGTGTGACTGCAGTAAAGAAGCTGCAGGAAGACTGTTGGTTACATGAAGGCTCACAGGTCCTGAATCGGTGAAGTCAAAATCACTGAAAGCTTAGATCAGGTCAGATCAGGTATTTATCTTCTTTAAAGTCTCCGAGCTACTCGCTGCTGCATTCCCTGCTCACGGTGGATGCTGAGGGACATTAGCACCCTCTGTTGTTTGAAAGTTAGCATCACAGCATGGTGTTGAGAAGTACTGAGGTAACCGAACGTGACAACACACACGCACAAACACGCAGGACCAACGTCAGGCACACGAGAGGAGAGCTTGCTGTTTTCTAAAAAGACTCGTTGGATATCAAACGGAGAGCGAACGTTGCAGTCCTTTCTGAACAGCACAAATACAATAAATGACTTCCTAGGATACGCGAGGGGCCCAAGATCACAGAGAAGGGAGCTTGTTCTTAGACCAGAGTGGCACGCTTATCTTCAGCCTTATTTTTCTCGACGCTACTAAACACAATGACGTCTGTAGATGCTGCCTGTGATTGAAATACTCGTCTAAACGCAGTTCTCAGCACTTCACTTCTAATTAAAGCTTTGTTTGTGTCTCATCTACAAAAGTGCTTCATGGACTCGTGAGCCTCCTGCCTGCTTTTGTTTGGGTGGAGGTGGCCGTGGTCCAAGCACAAAGACACCTCTCTGCGTCTCCTCCGCTGGGTCTCCGGGTGGAGAACGAGCGCTGGGGCGGGTAGGAGTGGAGGGGAAAACAAAAGCACAAAAAACACAAAACGAGAACACAGAATAAATTGAACATTAACAAGGTGGTGGTAGAGCTGACTCAGTCTTTCGTAGCCCTCGATTTCCCCGTCGGTGAGGGGGTCCTGTAGGGGACTCTGTGTAGGAGTTACTGGATAAAAGGTTAAAAGGCTTTAGAGATCAGTCCAGAGCAGGATGGCACTCTGAGCTCAGTGCAGGTGGACGTGGAGCTTGATGCGCAGGGCGTCACCTATCTCCCCTTGTAGGTAGTCAATGTCATGCTGCTTTTCTAGTTGGTGCAGTTTTCGGGGCCCAAACAGCCGAAGGCTGGCAATCTCCAGCCGGTAAGATCCAGGTGGAGGCGGCTTCTTGCCGAGTCGGAGCACGCTCTTTCCGTCGCGGCGTTCCAGCAGGTGGAAATGTTCGTCGGCGTTGCCGTGGGTTATGACGTAACGGAC